CTTTAGCCAATCAGTGATTTCTTTTCACATCTCTCACATTTATAAGATTTGTGTTCTATGTAGTATTAAGTTTCTGTTTAAATGGCATTTAGAAAACATCCTAATGAGTGTTAGGATTACCTGAAGAATGTTTATTTGAATCATATCCGTACCCACCACTGATAGCCTAATCTCTCATTACATAGTTATTTCCGTTGAATGGAAGCCTTTCCTCCTGGGGATAGAAGCTGGTGCAACTTGCCTGGTTATCTCCTTGACTTGTGATATCCCCAAGGCCCCTCCCTAAAGGCTCTAAGCCTGCAATTGCTGGGGACAGGGCACTCTTTTGCTGGCCAAGCTGTCTCTGGTTGAGGGAGCCCCAGAAAGGCTGTTCCTGGTAACCATCTATCTATTTCTATATATTCAGGTTGTTTGGGCTTTTACATTTTACATGTAAAGGAGATCGTGCAGGGCTTTTCTCTGTATTTGGCATTCAGTTGCTTTCATTTTGTTTAAAATAGTTTAAATAACCTGAATAACATGTTACTCTGGCTGTTGTGTAGAGGGGTGTGTGTGTGTGTGTGTGTGTGTGTGTGTGTGTGTGTGTGTGTGATTTCTTTATTCAGTGATGTAGATTTAGATTATGTCTATTTCTAGGCTATTGAGAATAAGTACTTCAGTAAATGGTATAATTGTCTCTGTAAGGGGCCAATTTCACATCCTTTGGAAACATTTTCAGAATGGGACTTCTGGGTAAGCATTCTACTTAATGATTAACAGCCATTTGGAAATGGCTCAATTCACATGAAGAAGCATCATATAGATGCTCTGACAGAGCACTCTAGATAATCCCCTGCCATCACAGTCTAGATATGAACGAACTTTCAGATACTTATATCATGCCTACAAGACCAGTTAAGCTGTGTGGAACAAAGGCCAGCTGTTCCTGACAAGCCCCTGCCAAACCACAGGTTTGTGAGAGACTAAATGTGCTGGTAGGTGTTGTTAGCCATGAAGTTTTGATGTTTTGGTTTTTACTCTTTTAATAGATAATTCAAACACAGGGTAATGGCATTCAGGAATATGGCAGAGGAACTTAGAGATAAATGACCTGGCAGTTAAAGTAATGTTTCTGTAGATTCCTCTAAGCATGGATCCATTAACCCTATTCTAATAAGATCAAAGGACTCTCAAGCTATACTACCCCCAGTTCCTAACCACAGAGTCTTGAACCCCAGGGCTTACAGCCATGTCTTGGAAGCAGATGAAAGCTTCTTATCTATGGGTGCTGTTGTACCCACTGACAGATATTTATAAACATTCTCATAGGCAGCAAGTCTGCAGATCTGAGCCTTGCATGTCCTATACATCCTAGTTCCCAAACACAATGCAATGAGTCTGGCTTTATGGAGACTACATGGTGATATTTCCCAGCTACATGTCTTGAGGGAGTTTTCTCCAGGCAAAGGACAGAAGGTGGCTGGATTGCAGCAAGCCTGCAGGAGGTATAGGAGACTAGAACTTCTTCAAGCTTAGAATGTCAAGGGGACAGCTGTAAGCGGCAACTCTCAATAAATATTTTTCAAATTAACAAAAACAGATTATAACACTGCATTTTTCTATGTACCAGAGTTGGGATGTAGACATCCCAGTGGGATGTCTAGTATAGGTTGATTGTTTCCATCACTTAGTGTATAATCTTTGTCTTCTACCACCTGGAAGGGACAGAAGTGGATAAACTGGACAGCAGCCATTTGGGCCATGAGTGACCAAAGCTCTTTTGATCATCTTCTTGATGAAATATGAAGCTACCTCTTAAGTAAAACCAGGTGACAGAAAACATGCTATACCTCATACTGGATATGAGACTAGTAAGTCTAAGAATGTATCCACATATAGCTTATTGAGGATACTGTATGCCAAGTGGGCCACATTGTGCTGCCTCGTAGGAATAGATTGCACTAATATGGGCTGAAGCATTTAGAATCTAGAGGATGAGGTGATCTCCAGTGCCCTATTGGTGGATGAAACTGCCTAGTTTAACTTCACTGGCACATTGAGGGGCAACCCCTTAGGCTGAAGACAGGGCTGGGTGCAATTGTTTGTCACAGAGGCAGAGGAATCTAGCCAGAGGGGAGTCCTTCCTTTGAATGGTGGGTATACATGGCACTAATAGGGGAACTGATAGCTAGAATCTTGAGTATCTGAGAGGATCAAAAATGTCAAGGCTACACTTGAACTCTTGAGTCTTTTTAATACACCTCTTCACTTCCTTTTAGTTTAGACACTCACCTGTAGAATCAGAGTAGGCACAGATGCTCTCCTGACCACTTTAATTCTCACATGTGAAGCCAGACAAATTAGGGGCATTTGGTCATTTTCAGAGATGCTTGCCGTCCTGATTTTCTGTGAAGAGGGGTCTTTTCTTTCTTTTAATGTTAAAGGTAGCTCAGTAAGTTCTGAGCATGATATTGAGACATTTAATTTTAGGCAGTGATAAGAGTTGTTAACATTTAGTTCAGAAGTCGACTGGGAATTAGAAGGAAGAATATTTAGAAAGATGAAAAGAAATGCAGGCTAATATATATTATACACCAGGGGAGGGAAGACCAAGGTATACGTGTAGAGGTCAGAGGACAGCTTCAGAATCTGATCTTTCCATCCACCACATAGATGTTAGATATAGAACTCAGGTCATGGGACTTGGCAACAAGTGCCTTACCCAACTGAGCCATCTCACTAACTAACAAATGCTACTTACAAACCTTAAAGAAAATACTCTTAAAGTAATCTTTCTAAAATCAAATCTCAGCAATGTTCAAGAGCTATTTATACTCCTTTCCAATGGAAAAAAAAATCACTATCTTAGAGAGTAAGGGATTTGTGATCTTCTTAGATTTTCCACAATTAGGAATACAGTAGCCTAGAAAGCATCAAGCACCACAACTGTTTAATGATAAACAAAAATGCAAAAAAAACCCACACACACACACATTTGCTTGTCACTTCCAGAACCAAATGTGTACTTTAATGAAAATCCTAAGTTCAATTTTCCATGCCTCTGATTGTTTTAAAGTAAAATAATTTTCATTTAAAGAAGAGTTTAGATGTTTTTATAAGTTATCTTAATAATGTAACAATCCACATACATGAAAAGCATTATCGGTTAGGCAACCATAACTTTTCTCTCCAAGGGAGAAAATTAGAAGTGAAGATATGCCTATTTTTAAAAATTTCTAACTTTGAATCTTAAAAATCAGCATAAATGTAAAAAATATACAAACTACCTGTTGCTTAAGAACTTGTACTTCCTTTCAACAAGCCTATACTAATTTATCATTCAATGGTCTCTTGTTTGTTTCAGAAACTAACAAAATCTTATTTCAGCATTTGTCTTCAGTATGCACTGGACCTTCTTTGAACCCAACTGAGGAATTTATTCAGTATCAAACAGCAGATAAGACTGCCAAAGAGCAGCCTGGGGACTCCATTTTTATGAAATTTCCTCGGCAATCCTGATAAAATAGGTATGAATATACAGTGAAAAGGAAAAAAAAAAAAAAAAAAAAAACACCTTAACAGGTTATTGTTATCTGAGAATGTGTATAGGAAAAGGCGTGGTCTTTGTGTGGGCAAAGAAATACAGTGAGACTATTGGGTTGTGTTACGGATTCACTGTCCTCCCAAAGCGACCTATTAACGTTCGTATTCCGGAGATGAGGCTGTAACTTGTCCACAGAGGCAGTGAAGTTAGAAGGCTGCCATGAATGCCTTCACCTACTATGAGCAGCTGGCCTTATGAAAGGCGAATCAGGCAATCATAGGCCTGCCATGAGGGAGATGTGGGAACAAACAGGTAGGATGCAATGTGAAGATGAAGACAGAGGCTGGACTGACGCATTTATAAAATGTATTTATAAGCCACGTGACGCTGAGGTCAGCAGGATCCACAGGCAAGGGCAGATTCTTCTCTACAGCCCTCAAAGGGAAGAAATCCTGGAAACTTTGATTTTAAACTTAAGAACTTTACAGATGAGAAAATAGTTTTTGGCTAAGCTGCTCACTTTGTGGTGCTTGTAAGAGCAGGCTAGGATATTAATACTGAGTACTTCTACTTCCAACTATCAGTTTATTCTTAGTTCATTTCATCAAATTCCAAGAAATGGAAAACTTCATGAAATGTTTCCTGCTTACCAATCTTTTCTATACAAATTTCAACAAAGGCATCGCTATGCCGGTATCGTAGTTGCTCTGGCTCATGTACAACATTCTTTAAAACAGGTCTTCATATGCCCTTTCTAACTTTTTAAATATTCCTCTCTGAGGACTTGGGGAATAGTTTTGTGTAAGGAAAGACAGGACATTTGAGGTGGACTTTAACACATTTAATACACTGAAACATTAATATGTATGCACATATACATTAAACATGAACTTCGCAAACCGACGCATTCGTCGGTCAAATAAAAATAATCGAGACTGTCACGTTTTTCAGATTAAATATTAGCAATTTTGTGTAATGCACCCTGTACGCACGTGAATGATATGGACAGCAAATGAGACGGTTCATACAGTTAGGAAGCTTGGCATATGTCCATTCTCTTACATTTGTCTCATTAATATACTCACAGTAACAGTTGCCAAGAGAATGAACTTGGACTAACTTACAAAAAGCAAAGTCATTAGGCTAAAACGAATAAATAATATCCTCAGTGCGGCGCCTGAATCAACAAGTCCAGAGAATCCGTGGCTCTGCTTTAATGTCCTTCCTCCCGCCCAAACCTAGAACTGCCCTCTCCTCAAAACAACCAGCTGCTGCTCCGCGCACTCCGCCTCTACCGCCGACCCGTTGCCGGAAGCACTTTCCCTGCTCCCTATTGGCCCGTCCCAGGACGAATCAGTCACCATTGCCCTCGGCAAGTCCCGCCCCCACCAGCCACGAGGGCGGACACCCCTACGGAATTCCACCCAACCCGGCTGCGCAAGGCCTACTAACACGCCTGCGCGGACGTGCGTGCCCCGGAAGCAGTTCATTGGCCTGTGACACGTAGCAACAGGGCTACTGCAGGGTCTGGAACTGAGTTTGGGAGTTACTAGGGGCCGCCGGAGCTGCAGCCGCCGCCGCCGCCGCCGCCGCCGGAGCGCTTGGTGAGTGTCCCGGGCCCGTGTTCCCCTTTTGGCTTCTGCAGCAGTTATGTGGGCTGGCCACCTGGTCAGTCTGCGCGGGCTGTGGTCTTTCCCTCAAGCTCTCCACCACCACTCATGACCCTGTGCAGCGCGGCCCCTCTTTTATATCTAGGTGAAGCGGCGCCTCCACTAGGCCTCGCCCCTACCTCAGAGCTGTCAACTCCCCAGTGTCCAAGGGTCTTCTTGAACCTCAACTGTCACCCCCACCCCCAACCCATCCCAGACCACGTCCACATGCTGATTCGGGTTACCGAAATGCGTTCCGTCTTCTGAGGGTGTTTGCTTAAGCAAAGAACCACAGACAAATCAAGTAGGACTTGGGTGTAAACAGTGTTTGCCATCTCTCTTCTGTTGCAGATCATTGGCAATGTCAGGCTTTGATAACTTAAACAGCGGTTTCTACCAGACAAGTTACAGCATCGACGAGCAATCTCAGCCGTCCTATGACTATGGAGGAAGTGGAGGACCCTACAGCAAGTAACTTTTCAACTTTGGCAACCTACTTAGTGTATAATTCACGGACGGATGTATTCGGGATGCACAGTCCGTGTTCCCTTTCAGGAATCTGATTGCCATTTTCTTGGCCTAGAGAGATGGGACATTTGTTTTAAGGGGTTACCCAGTTTGATTCATTTTCGGAAAAAAGAAAAGTCTTCTAGTGTGCCAAAGAAGCATAAATACTATGTTGAAATAATACAAACGTTTTGGGTAGGTACTTAAGGTACCTAGAATATAAGGCTGTTTATTCATTGAAAAAATTAAAGTTTTTTGATAGCTTATTTGGTAGGTAAGTCAGTCTGACTTTGAAACTTTATCAGCAGATGTCCAAAGAGCTTAATGACACTGGTTAACAGTGTCAGCTCCCCATTATGAGTCATGATGTGACTTTGATATGGCTGTTGATAATAATTTTTATTATCCACATGCTGAAGTATTATGGTTAGTACTAGAGAAGTTACCAGTTACAGGCCAAAGAAGAGAATTCAAAGCCTTCAGGCTCTGAGCTGTTAAAAATAAGCTCATCTGTAATATCTGGTGTTTGGGATACTTTGAAAGTATTGGCCTACTTCCATCCTAACAAACTGATAGGTCAGTAAGCATTGCTTCTTACTAGTTAGTTTACATAGCCATGCGACCACCTAGTACATGCAGGTTTACGAGTTGTGCTTGAGAAAACAGAAGGTATGATGCTGCAGTCACAGTATGTGTCAAGTTCCCAAAGCTTTATCAAAAAGTTAGACTCCTTTGCTTCTATATGTGCCTGCAAGAAGATCTGCCACCTAATTATATTTTACATATTATCTCGGCTTGCCAACTCATATCTTACTTGCTTTACTAAAACTTGTTAACAAAAATCAGTGAGAACTTTGGTAGTTAGGGAACAATCTAGGTTCGTACAGCGTAGTATCTTGCTTGCCTTAAAGTTCGACTTATTAGCCTTATTGTTCTACTGTTTCCTCACGAGGCCAGTGTTAACATTTTATGGGTTCCTTTTATGGGTATTTCACTATGTCATACAGTTGAGCCCCCATTGTTTTCTAGCTACTCCCCTGAAATATATAGTAATTCTAGTCACTTATTTTTAAGAAACTGAAAACTTATAATTTTACTTTTAACTTGTCTGATATTTTATGAAACATTTTTATGGCCATAAGTAGATAACCTGTGTTGAGGTTTTATCTTTGCTGTTGCTACACAGAGCTTATAACAGTGGTGATTTAGCATGTGCTACTTGCCTGCTATGAAAGCATTGTTGTAAAAATCATGCATGCCACAACACAGTTTGGTTTGCAACTAAGTTGGTGACTCGAAGTTTTAGAACAGGTCCTGGCAGGCAGAGAAATCGTAAACTAGGGTAATGTTGTCTTTTTTTCACTGCATCTGGAAGATGTAATGATAGTCCCACCTTTGGAGTTGTTGCTCACAGTATGTCTATTTGTAATCATTGGTGCTCAGTGTGAGCTCCAGATTCTACGGGATTATTAATATACGTTTTAGAGATCTTCTAAATTCAGAAATAGTTTTCAAAACAATATTAAAGCATTCTATACCTTTCACGTGTGTTAGCATTTGCAGATCAACACAGCAGCATATTATCCTAAATCAGGTAAAGAGAATTGTTATCCTTGCTCAACTAGCTAAGCCTGATGAAGATTGTTGTTGTGTAAGTAGGTGTGCACAGAAGAAGAAATAAGCATATTTATGTTCCAGAAAAGCTGGGCACCTGCAGGTGCAGAATGTAATTTTGAGGCAGTCTGTAGAAGGAAGGGTTTTGTAGTGGTGCTTATTAGTCATTAAGCATTGATGACCTCTGGATTTAAATAACCTAGTTTTAAATCTGGCACCATCGTGGCAAATTATTTTAATCTAAATTTCAGTTACATATATTCAGTAGACCCATTTCATGGGGTTGTAGTTAGTAATAGACAATTCACATTAAACACATACAGCATAGTGTTTTTCACGTGTAACATTGAAAAGAGGTGTTTAGGACATTTGCAGTAGTTACGATATTCTTCTGTATTACAGTAACTCATTTTAGAGTTAGCCAGTTGAGTTTTAAATTTTAATATTTTTATTTTTTGAAAGTGTTACATTTATACAATGTGTATTGATTGTATCTATTCACCGCTACCTCTCTCCAGCTCCTTCGGCCTTCTGGTCATCTCCCGCCCAACTTCATGTCCTCTTTTTGTATGGTTATTAATAGCACTCTGATCCTCATTAGAACTGCCGCGTGCACATGGCTGAGTGGCTGTCTACTGGGGCATGAGCAGCGTACCTGGTGGCTATGCCCTGGGGCTGGGGGAAGACTCCCTCAGCAGCTGTGAGCAGCTAGCAGCGGTCCTGACAGAGTGAACCCTGAAGGGCCCCTCCCCAGGCTGGGCTGGAATTTTTGACTGCCTTGGTCTTGTACAGGCTTGTTAAGGTAGTCACAGCTGCATCAGCTTATGTGTGCAGCAGCCAGGTCACATCCAGAAGTCAGGGTTTCACAGCCCTATTGCAGCTCTCTGCCTCTTACATACTTTCTGTTCCGCTTCTATAACGTTTTCTGAGCCTCTAATGGTGAAAGATAGATATAGAGGGGCCCTCCACAGCTGAGCTCAGTGTTCTTTATACTTGGCCCTTTGGCCAGCTGTACTGTTAACAATCTCTGAAAGGACTTTGGATAGGTGAACATTTACTATCGGTTTAATTTTTTAAATTGAAATAATTAATTTAAAAGTAGTTTTATTTTTAAAATCTCAATATTAATGGCTTTCATTACATTTTTGCATTTTTCAACAGATACCAGAAATATCATTTTAAAATAACTTTAAAATATTTAGTTTCATGCTACTCACTATACCATTAGTCCACTGAAACACTAGACATATGCTAAGACAGGGCATCAGTGCGGTCCTTTTCCCTGTTAGTCACGTAAATAGCCACAGGAAGGTTTTTTCCTGAAGGCTCGGGATTTGGTGTAAGCCCAGGGAGGCAGTAAGTGTATAGTCAGTCCACAACCTTTAAAGCACAATTCAAATACAAGGCGGTCTAAGAACGTTTTTTTAAATTCGGAAAGCTTTCACAGAGAAGCAGCTTGATAACCCCCTCCCCAGTTTGAAATTAATGTTTCTTTCTGAGGTCTTCTCATTTGCAAGCTCTACAATACTATGACATATATGAAAGAATACTGATTCCATGGACATCAAATTATGGAAAATATCATCAAGTCTGTCACCCCAAACCTTCAATTATTATGTTCAGCATACATTTATTTTAGAATATATTGTACCACTCTCTGGATTACTAGGGGAAGATACCAGTCTTGACTTAAAATTTTTACTTGTTAGTCTCTGGGTATTTAAAAGTGTGATAGTTAGTCTGCTTGTGTGCTGACATGCACATGTTGGCAGCAACGGCCTCCCGTTGCTCTCTAGGAACATCCTTCTAACTAGATTGTTAGCCTGTCACTCACGGCTTCAGCACTGATTCTTTGTGGGTATCCTAGAAAGAGGTTTGGAAATGACTATGTTTTAGCTGTCAAGAAAAGCAACAACAAAAAAGGAATCTAGGAATACCAACTGTCAATTGTTTAAAATATTGAGAGCAAAGCTTTAAAATTCTTTGATTTACAGGCAGTATCCTGGCTATGACTACTCGCAGCAAGGCCGATTTGTCCCTCCAGACATGATGCAGCCACAGCAGACATACACCGGACAGATTTACCAGCCAACGCAGGCCTATCCTCCTGCAACTACACCTCAGCCTATCTATGGAGACAGCTTTGAGGAAGAGCCACCTTTGTTAGAAGGTAGGATGGAATGGGGTAGGTTCAAGACCCCATCTGAGCAGCATGAGGCCAGAAATATTTTTCATTTAGAGTAGTTTAAATTTTCCGTTATCTTCATATACTTCATAGTTTAGCATCCTTAATTGGAAAGTCTGAAATGCTATCTACACCCTTTGTTTTTACCCTGAGACAGAATCGGGCTGTGAAATCCAGGCTGGCCTCAAACTTGGAGCAGTCCTCCTGCCTCAGGCTTACAAATGCTAGGATAATAGGTGTTACTTATCATACTTAGCTTAAAACATTTTGAATATTAAATTGGTCTTAAAAACTTTGAATTTCAGAGCATTTCAGATTTTGAGACCCAAGGTGCTTAGCATATTTTCTGGTCTCTAGCTGGTTAATGAAAACAGATTCTAAATTGGAGATGATGTTCTTTCTTCTGGAAGAACAGTAGGTAGCCTTTAGTCAGTAACTTATTTAGAAGAGAGCTTATATTGGGCCAGAAGGGATCAGTTCTTTAAGCAAATAATCTACTTTTATTTCAAATCATTAATTAAATTCTGCCTGTGGAAAATATGAAAGTAAATAGTGTGGTATTTATAGTTCTATGTGGAACTAACAGAACAGTTGATTGCATAAAAATATGTTTCTCAATTATATTCCAGAAATCTGAACACAAATGCAGAGACATAATTTCGTGTGATTTCTTCTTTTATTATTGTCAACAATTTTCCATCATGTTCATTGGGTGTATTACAAACATTTCATGATATATGCATTTTCATATTGGGCTCTAACACATACATGCATTTCAGATTCTGCTCATTCACATGAAATTTCACTGGGTAATACAAGAACAGTGCCCATATGTAGACTAATGTAATATGTCAACTGCCTTTACTTCTCAAAACTGGGAAGATGGAACTTTCCTTTTTTTAAGTTTAATTTTTATATATTCATTTTACATCTGACTGTAGCACTCTTTTTCCTCTCTTCCCAGTCCCACCTTTCCTCCCTGTTTCCCCTATCCTCCCTCCCCTACTTGTCAGCAAATAGGAGTCCCTCCACCACCCCCACCCCGAATATCAAGTCCCACTTGGACTAAGCACATCCTCTTCTCTGTGGCCTGGGAAGGTAGCCCCGCCAGGGGAAAGTTATAGAAAAGCAGGCAACAGAATCCATGTCAGAGTCCAGCCCCTATTCCCTTTAGTAGGGAACCCATATAAGGACTGAGCTGCCGATAGGCTACATCTGTCTAGGGGGCCTAGGGTCCTTGGTTGGTGCTTCAGTTTCTTAAGTTTCCCTTGGGCTCTTGTTAGTTGGCTCTGTTGGTCTTCTTGTGGAGCTCCTGTACCCTCTAGGTCCCTTTATCCTTCCCCCAACTCTTCCACAAGACTCTATGTGCTCCACCCAGTGTTTGGTTGTGGGTCTCTACGTCCATTTCCATCAGGTGCTTTGTGGAGCCACTCAGAGGACAGCTGTGCTAAGCTTCTGTCTGCAAGCATAGCAGAGTATTATTAATCATGTCAGGGGTTGGCTGTCTCCCCTGGGGTGCGTCTCAGTTTGGGCTAGTCATTGGTTAGACATTCCTTCAGTCTCTGTTCATTTTAGTCCATGTACATCTTGTGAGCAGGGTAAATTTTGGGTAACAGTTTTTGTGTGTGGGTTGGTGTTCCCTTCTCTCCACTAGGAGTTCTGTCTAGTCAGAGGGTGGCTTCTTCAGTCTCCATGACCCCTGCTACTAGGAGTCTCAGCTAGAGTCACCCTCATATTCTCCCAGGAGTCTATTCTGTTGTGGGTCACCAGCTTGTCACAGAGATGCCCCCCCCCCCAAGGTTTCTCTTCCCTCTGTAAGCCCTCTGTCTTCCCTTCCCTGCTCTTCCCATGTCTGATATCAACCCTCATTTCTCTCCATGCTCCCTCTCTTACCCTGTTCCCTCTCTTCACCTACTTCTACTGTCTATTCTATTTCTACTACTAAGTGGGAGTTAAGCAACCTCCCTTGGGTCCTCCTTGTTACTTATCTTCTTTGGGTCTGTAAGTTGTATTATGGTTATACTGTACTATATGGCAAACATCCACTTATAAGTGAGAACATACCATGTGTGTCTTTCTGGGTCTCAGTTACCTCACTCAAAATGATCTTTTCTGGTTCCCACCATTTGCCTGCAAATTTCATGATTTCCTTGTTTTTAATAGCTGAGTGGTGTTCCATTATATAAATGTACCATAATTTCTTTATTCATTCTTTGGTTGAGGGACATCTGGGTTTCTAGTTTCTGGCTATTCATGGGTACATGGGTATTTCTGAAGCTCCAGGTAAAGAAGCCCTTTTGGTTAGCCATGTGCACATGCTCTTTTACATACTCATGTATGTGAGTCTGTTTCATCTTCTTCATATACCTTCCAACACAGAGTTTAGGCTTAAGCAGAAACCCAAACTATAGAATGGTGCTGAAGACTCAGTGAAGTATCATTGACCATTGCTGAACCCTGTTCCTGTGTATTTATTTTTGTGTCCTGTTAAGGCATTGGTTCTGGAAAACACAAATTCTAAAATATGTAATAAGAGTGTCCATTGCTAAAAAAAACTCTTGAAATGGAAGGAATAGCTGTCGGTCTCAATCTGTGGAGTAATGGGCTTTCCAATGTACAATTTTAGGTAAATTTATATAAACTAATAAAGGCATATCACAAATTCTAATGGATTTCCTTATCTTCTTATCTTAGAGTTGGGTATCAATTTTGACCACATCTGGCAAAAAACACTGACGGTGCTACACCCTCTGAGGGCAGCTGATGGTAGTATCATGAACGAGACCGACTTGGCAGGGCCAGTGGTGTTCTGTCTTGCCTTTGGGGCCACGCTGTTACTGGTAAGGTTGTCATGTGTTGGGTAACATGACTGAAGAGTTAAATATTCTACCAGAAGACATTTGGAGTCTCAACTCTTTGATAGGTTTTTGGGTGTATTGAGATTCTTGAATTTATACTTATTTCTCTGTCAATAGTAAGTATTGGACAGCATATGTAAAACCTTTATCTCTTGAGCCAGATATAGGAGACACAACACAGCTGTAATCGGAGTCTTGGGAGACCGAAGCAGGAAGATTCTGAATTCTAGGCCAGTCTGGGCTACATATTGAGACAGTTTCAAGGGGGAAAAATACACACACACATACATCTTGTAAGAACTAGTCCAATTTTAGGGAAAAATAAGAAAAAAATGAACATCATAATGTTGTAATTTTAAGAAATTGACAATATTTTATTTACTGCATTGCACTTAAAAAAATAGAGACAGTAGTTGTCTTTATTTAATCCTGTCCTAGTTTTGTTTATGTTGCTGTGGTAAAATACCCAGGGGAGATGGGGTTGGTGGGGTCGATCTAATGGAGAAAAGGTTATTTTAATGCATTTCCTACTTATATTCCACCTATCACTGCCTGGATGTCAAGATGTATGGAACTTATTATAGTCTATTCTACCTGCAGTCAAGAGCAGACAGAATAAATGCAGTCATTTATTGACTGCCCAGCTCACCTTTCTACTCAATTCAGAACACAAACCCAGGAATGCTGCCAGCCTCCTTCAAGCACAGTCTTCTTCCACATGTTTCACCACAGACATGTCACAGGCTAGCCTGATCTAGGTAGTAGTACATTGAGACTCTCCCAGGTGATTCTAGGTTGTGTCAAATTTAAATTTAACTGTCATAAATGTCTAGCTCTTGGTCAGCGTATGGCTTTCCTATACATTTTAACTTCCAATGAATTAAACAAATGGCAAGTTTTTGTCTCTGTCTCCTAGTTCTCCAGGAATACTAAAGTATACTGAAGGGAAAAGTTGCTATTTTCAACTGTAATTCAGTCTGAACTACAGAGATCAGTAGTATAATTGATAGAAAATGTTATCTTTGCCAGAAGACCTGGGCTTCTACATATACTCCCACTGGCCTTGACCTGACAGTTTAGTCCTTTATATCCCTCTGCTGGATAATAGCTGTGTTGCCCACCTAGCCTAACAGAGTTGTTTTGGTGTACCTCCACACCCAGCTTGTTTTAAAGAAAAAAAAAAAAAAAAAAAAGACAGTTGGCTGAGAGCATGTAGTCATAGACCTATAATCTCAGCATTTGGGAGGCTTAGGCAGGAGGATTGCTCCGACTTTAAGACCAGTCTGGGTTAGAGTGAAACACTTGTCTCAAAACAAAAGAAAAAGCAAACCAGGACAGGCTATGGGAGAATACTTTGCAAAACTAACAGTGCTGTGCAAAATAGAATTTATTATTTATTGCTCTATTAATTCACTCTTCAGTGAACTCGGCTTCTTCAAACTACTACAGCCTGTATCAGATATTTACAAGTAAACATTATATCCAGCAAATGCCTCAAGGATGTTTTTCATTTACAATAATTGTAGAGACATTCTCAATATTTAGTCATATGAAAAAGGTCTCGCCTTTTTCAGTCCCTTTTTGAGATATCTCTGCAGACTTATTTTGATGAGATTTTTTTTTTTTTTTTTTTTTTTCTCATGTGGGTTGACTGGGAAGGTTGTAATGTAGCTCATGCTTCCTGTCTGAAAACCATTCAGTGATTTCTTTTTTTGTTGTTTTTTTGGTTTTTGGTTTTTTTACGACAAGGTCTTACTTGTATAGCCCTGTCTGCTCTGAAGCTCACTGTGTAGATCAGGTTGACTTTATACCCAGAGATCTGGCTGTCTCAGCCTCCAGAGTACTTGGATTAAAGGTTTTTGCCACTATGTCTAGCTAATATCTTATATACAAGCAGAACTTTCAAAGTGTGTGCTTTTGTTTTTAATTGTAGGACTGTGGAATCCAACATAGAATTGGGAAAAATAATGAAAAGAAAAAAGTTCCTCTCCCTTATATTCACCTAGTTTTCTTACCCTCTTTCCTGTTCCCTATCTTTGTTCAGTTGTGTATCAAGCTCAAATGCTACCAAGAAATGCAATAGAATATCTGTGTTGGGAAGTGGTGTATCAAAGTTAAGAGTTTGAAGTCAAGGTGTCCTCAGAGTCAAGCAAGACAGGGTTCCAGCACTGAGGGAGAAGAGGACATGGCTTCCCTCCTAACAGAGAAGCTGTCTGCAATTGGTACCCACTTACAAGGGGCAATTTTAGTTTTTTCCAATGGCTTCTCACTGGGTATATTAACACACTTAGGCTATGCCCCATGCCCAGGAGTTGATGGCCAACACAAAAGGAACTCAGTAGTGTTTTGTAGATTTTGTAGGCTCTTGCTCTGTCTCTCTCTTGCTCTTGCTCTCTCGCTCTCTCTCTGTTTGTCTGTCTTACTGGTCTTTTGCTTGTATATTGTTTTCCAGTTGTGTTTTTGGGTTTCTATATATGTATGTGTTGTGTGTTTGTTTGTTGTTTGTTTATTTTAAGGAGTTTTTTGTTTGTTTGTTTGGGAGCATGGAGTTGTGTAGATAGGGAGATGGGGAGGATCTTGGAGGATTGGGAGAGAGGAAAAAGTACGGTATGAACATATTCTAGGAAAGTGATTTTTTTTTTTTTAATTAAAAAGAAAGGCATGAAACCTGTCTGCTTCATCTCCTTCCAGTGTACCTCTGTAGATTTTGATGCTTATGAATTGAGTATTTTAAGGGTGTGTCATTTTATGTGAAATAAGGCGCAAATAACACTTTCTCCTCTTTATTTTCTTCTCTTTTCCCATAGGCTGGCAAAATCCAGTTTGGCTATGTGTATGGGATCAGTGCAATTGGATGTTTAGGAATGTTTTGTTTGTTAAATTTAATGAGTATGACGGGTGTCTCATTTGGTTGCGTGGCAAGTGTACTGGGGTACTGTCTTCTCCCTATGATCCTGCTGTCCAGCTTTGCAGTGGTATTTTCCTTACAGTGAGTACTGATCTTAACCTCAGATTTAGTTGGGCAGTTCTATGTAGTAGGGTTTACTTCACCTATGTTTAAGATAAAGCACTGATCTAGCAAACATGTTTGTTGTACCTCATGTAGATTTGAACTGTGCTATCTGCACTTTGGGTGATGAACAATGAAAATGAAAATGAAATTTGAAGTCTTCTATATAACCTCAGTTTTACCTTTGATCAATAATTTTACTAGTTTTATGTTTGCTGATACCATAGCAATAATGAAGTAAATAGTGTGATCATTAAATAATACATGGAGAAGTTTCATTCATTCATGTTAGCATGTTTAGCCTCCTTGGTAGTCTAGTTGTGTCAGTCTTGAAGCAGTTGAGCTTTCCGAAAACATGATTAGTAAACACATATGTGTTTGTGGGGAACAGGAATGCTGATACATTGTAGTGGAAAGAGGCCCTGGAGAGATGTTGAACATCCACACCATGCAAAACATGACCTTCAGCAGAGGTAGCGAGCATAAGGGAACAGCTTAAAGAAACATAATTACACTGCTTACAGCAAATGATTGAGCATTTGTGAAGTCACTATGCAAGTACATATCTATGTTTGACAAAATAGCCTTATTTCTGTACATGTCTGTATGTGGATTTAGAAATGTCTGGAGGTGTATCTATTGCTCTCCAAATGTGCTAAGCCCTGCAGTTTGCACAAATGCATAATCTGTGGTACTGTGGTACTGCATTTGTGCGCTTTTCTGCAAAACAATGCATTAGAAATCTGTTGCTTTAGAATAGTGTATAGTTTAGTTTGGTTTTTTTAATATCTAATTTTCTTTCCCTTTTTCTCCTGCTACAGAGGAATGGTAGGAATTCTTCTCACTGCCACGATTATTGGATGGTGTAGTTTTTCTGCTTCCAAAATCTTTATTTCTGCATTAGCCATGGATGGACAGCAGCTATTAGTGGCGTATCCTTGCGCTTTGTTGTATGGAGTCTTTGCCCTGATTTCTGTCTTTTGAACTGATTTTGTCTGGGATATGGATATCAGTGGGCCGAATTCACAAAAAGGACCTTAGACTCTTAAAATTGGACCAGCAAACTACTACAGTGCAGCTCAATTCACTTCCCAGTCGCCTGGAAGCAACAGAAGTACAGCCTTTGTTCATTGGTGTGGGACTGTTGAACGTGCTGTGGAGTCACCGAGTCGGCCAGCGCTGTGTCTGCTGACACACCCAAGAAGAGTGATTGCTTTCCTGACAACAGCTCTCCCTTACAAACTATAGTAGAATGTTTTTTCATAGATTTTTACCTACTGGGAAACCAAACACAAAGCTCATAATCTTTCTCAGAAACAACCAGTTATAGTAAAGGAGAAATGTCTTACTGCAAAAATATTTTTTGAAAAAATTAGGAAAGAAAATACTAGCTGTATCTTCAAGTTAAGCGCACTGAAATAAAGCTGAACAAAATTGATTGCAGAGCTTTTTGAGTTTGCACTTCAAATATTTGACATTCCTATAAATTGTCTTATGAAATTTGTGCTGAAATTCAGATGGAAGCAGTTCACAATCTACCTTATTGTAGAGTTGAGATGTGAAAAACTATTTAGACATTAGTGTCAACTAAATCTGGACTGGTCACATGAATGTGTAGTTCTATCTCCACATGTCCCAGGAAAAAGAAATCACTAACTTTTTTGAGGAAAAAAATATTTAAAATTTCACAATTTCAGTATTGCAGTTATCAATGTATAGTGCATTTGATGCTTATTAAATTTTTCCCAATTAACTGTGCTTTTGAGTTTACTTTCTCTAAACTACTGTTCTCTTCTTGTTTTTATTAGGGTTTGATTTTGACTCATGATTTAAATCTAGTTTTTAAAATAGAAGTAATCTAGTGTAGAATCAGGCAAAGATGAAGTGAAAAGCAGTTTACTTTGAATGACAGTACGGTGTTTGTCCCAACTTTAAATTCACTTGTTTTGTATCATTTTGCTGTCTGGTGAAAGAATCTATAGGCAAATGTTGTATATCTTGCATATGGACTTCTCTTAGATTCTGGACAATATGCAGTAACAGTTATGAGCAATGATGGGATGGAAAATAAAGTCTGACCTTTTTTGTAAAAGGAGGCCAGCAGCCAAAAGAAACATGCTAAATTGATATGTTAATGTTACTTTTTAGAGTAAAATTTTAAGTAGAAAAGGAATATCATAAACCTGATTTTCTTCCTTTATTCTTGGTATTCTGGGTTTGCATACTGATCATAAGTTTCAAGCATGTCTCCAGTTTTTCTAGCACCTTCCCCTTCTCTGGTTTGTTCGTTTGATTTTGGAGAGTAAATGGTTGAGGCAGAATCTACTGAAGCCGTCCCAGGCTGGCTCTGCATTCCTAACCCTGTCATTTTCGGTTCGTTTTATGTAGTTCTTATTGAAATTTATGAATGCCATCTGTTGTGTTGTTTTCGAGACAGGGTTTTTTCTCTATAGCCTGACTTGCTTTGTAGACCAGGCTGGCGTCGAACTCACAGAGATCTGCCTGCCTCTGCCCTCCCCACCCCTCCTTCCTCCACCTCCTCTGAGATTACAGTTGTAGTTGTACACCACTGTACCTGGCTGCTATCACTTAATACACCGCTGCTTATAGTGAATAGGGAAGATGATGCTTGAGAGAGTATCGCACACTTGGTTATATAACCAGTTCCCCCAGATAAATCTAATTTTATTGTTTGTTGTTTCCCCTCATCAAAAATCTTTATTTAAATTGTTGTACGGTTTTGTGGTGGTGATGTTGGCTATTGTTTTATTTAAATGTACTTGTATGCTACTGGCATACCATTTATTCCCATGTGCAACAAAACAGTTACAACATAAGATATGAAGCAATTCAACATTTAATTATCTTTCTATAAAAATGGCCATATAGTTTAATTGCATCTGATATGTAGTTTAAGGATTTGCTTGGCTACATAAATCATATACAGCACTTTCTCTTACAAGACTCTAAGTAAAAACCATAATGTACCCATGTTATGTATACATTGAAGTCTGATAGAGCATACCTCAAAAGTGTTATGTGACAGTGTTTTTGTTGAACACTCAAAATAGCTTAAAGTTCACCTACTGGATAATTGAAAGCCACTCTGAGGGCGACAGATACATTCTGCACCTCAGTCTTGTTCTTGTATTCAGTGAGTGGAGCAGTAAGTCCGTGTGCACTAGTAAGTGATTTGTATATATCTGTGCACGCCAAGCTTGTATGTTGTTGGTTAATTGTGCCTATGGTCTAATTGCATATTTTTCATCTTTGCTATAATTCTGTATTGCCTACTGTTTTCAAGTGCCATACTAGATTTGTAGACATTTTTCATGTGTAGATGCAAAGTTCTCATCTTTTGAAATCAGAGTATCTATAAAATGGATATCTATAAAATGGATACCTATTTTTCACTTATATAAGGAATTTTGATATGAATAAAATTTCATTTGTGGGTAAATGGATAGAAATAAAAATCATGTTAGATTAAATAAGTAATAGAAAACTAAAGATATTTTAGGTAGAATAAAATGAAGAAAATAGAATGAAGAGGGACTGTTGTTGGAGAACAAAGTGACCAAAGGGAAAGGTTTAAATGGCCAGATGTTATAATGGCAGTGAATGGGGAGGACCTTTGAAGTTTGTTTCTATTTTCTCTCTTTTTTTTTTTTTTTTTTTTTTTTTTTTTGATTGGATCTTACGAAGGATTACAGGCCTGCACCACCACTCCTGTTTAAATCTTAAAAGATTGTCACATACTAATATATGGTAGAAGAATTTTGAAGATTGTTTCTAATGACAAGAGTTTAGGCAGACTGAAAATAATAGTATAAAATTGGCATCTCCTATATATGTATTCTTAATCTTGAAAGTCATGGTTATCCTCAAATATGCTCCAAAGCTAAGTAAAGTTACTGTCAAATTGTTCTGTTTTGGTGACAAAGTCAAGTTACAGAGGACAAGTTATAGAAGACTGTAAGCTGGGGGGCTTACAGTTTCAGAGGGCTAGAGTCCACCGCCATCACAGCAGGGACCATGGCAGCAAGCACATAGACATGGCACTGGAGCAGCACCAACTTCATCGTAAATAGGGGACAGAGTTAGAACAAAACTGGGAATGATAGGAGCTTTTGGAACCTGAAAGCCCAACCCCAGTGACACATTTCTACCAAAACTACATTTGCCAATCCTTCCTAAACAGTTCCACTACTGGGGACCAAGTGTTCAAACATATGAACCCATATAAACCATTCTCATTTAAACCACCCCAGTCCGTTGCCTTTAAAATTATCCCATTATGTTTACAGTATAGTGTCAATTCAGATGGATGTTTCCAGTTCTGAAATTACATCATCTTCCCCTGCACAGATAAAAAAAAAAATTAGACCTTTGACCAAAAGAGGAATAAAAGAAGTTAAATATTTTCATGGATACTGAGCCAAAAACAAAGTGACAAAGACCATATTTGGATATTTCTCCTGCCAACATCAAATACGGCAAGCAGGTCTACCTAAGCAGTGCCCCACATTCAGCCTGTTCTTGCCTGGTGTCCACTTACACGTCACATCAAACCCTGGCTGCTAGTCACTACATGGGCCCTGTTTTTATAAACACCAAGGGTTTTTTGTTTTGTTTTGTTCTTGTTTTTTAAATAAAAGCTTAATTTCTCAAGCAGTTTATCTTGTTGCATACTTGTTTTAAACCCAACCTGTAGAAATAAAACATTTAAAATCAAGCAAAAACTCGAGTACATTCAGTACCCATCAGAGTTATATGAATTGGCAATTGTTTCCTTTCTAAAGTATATTATTAGGCTTGTGCTTGCGGTGCAGTAGGCTGCCATAAGGATGAGGTGGCTTGTGGTGATTTTTAATGGGTAGATGAGAACGGTCCCTCGATAGCTTATCCCCTCAGTGTGCCCTGTTTATTTTCAAGAAGCCTAAATAAAGCCTAACCTCATGTCTCTGGTCTAGGCAGTTACTTCCTTTCTCCTGTCCGTGAAGGATTGGCCCTATTCTTCAGCACCAAACCAGATGCAGAAGTTAGAATTGAAATTAAAACTTCGGTTTTAGGCTGTTGCTTTATGCATTAATACCCTTAGAATTAGGCAGTGGGAAAGTTGAAATTTTAATTATTAAATTATTGATTTCCAAGGGTTGGCAGAATCCTTAGTCAAAAGTGTAATTAACAAATGTCTCTGGTTACCAAAAATTCCCTGAAGCCAGAGCTCTGGTGGCAGGCGTGTGACTCTTGCATCACAGGTGGACATAATTCTCCTGGCCCTATGCATCAAGTCCCCCTCCAGTTAATGAGAACATCATCTGCTGATGGAGCGCAATGTCCCGTCTGTGCAAATACATTGAATTGATTATTTACTCAAATGAGGACTAATTAAACACAGAGCTGCTCTCCTAATTTAGAAGCACACTTTCTTAAGCACATTAGGTTCTACAACAAAGGTATTGCATTTTTCTGAGCTTAATTAGGCTTCCCTTGCGTAAATAAATTTGGTCTATTTCTGAAGCTAATGCTGAATCTACAGAATGCTTGCAAGGTGAAAAATTAGGTATCAAAGTCTTTTTCAACTTGTGGCATACAGAATAAAGAAGTGAGAAAATGAAGTATACCCTGAAAATATTTTAGGTGTCTGTAATTTTTCCTTTTTATCTAGCTGGAATATTCTGGTTCTCTTAAAGGCAGAGAAAAAAACAATATTTTTTTCTGGGTTAAAATACTGTTCTGAAATATCTGGCAAATATGATGATGTGTTTGTAGTGTTCAGTTTTGTGGTCCTTTGTAGTATTGAAGACTTGATAGTCGTCTTATTTTAGACCATTAGTGGCTAGAAAGTTTTTAATGTTTTACAATTCAAAATAGGAACACCTTTATTTCATTTTCCAGTTCAATTATCATGTAAAAATTAGCACTTCAATACAGTATTTTAAAAGGCACAATGATAAGCTATTTGGGCATACATAAGCCTTTAAATATACTAACAAAATCCAAATATATTTCACTGATGTGCAATTTTGGAAGGGACAATCTTCAAAGACAGGTCAGTAGATGCCACTGGGTGACAGGTGCATGAAGGCAACAGAGAGAGTTGGTGACGGGGGAGGGGAGTTGTTTAGTAAATTCACTGTTGCACATCCATCACCAGAAAATTGTCATCACACCTTTGCTAGTTTTTTGTTAACACAAGCCAGAGTCATCCTGGGAAGAGGGAACCTCAGTTGAGAAAATGCCTCCATCAGGTTTGTTTTTATTTTTATTTGTAATTGTTTATTTAGAGGCAAGTCTGGGATATTTCCTTGGTTGGTGATTGACATGGGAGGACCTTGAAGGGCCTTGGCCAGTGTAGGTGGTGGCCTGCTTGGCAGATGTTCCTTCATTGTATAAAAGAGCCATGGAGAATAGCCTGTGGGCAGTGTTTCCTCCATGTTTCTGCTTCAGTTCCTGTCTCCACGTTCCTGCCCTGAGCTCCTGCCCTGGCTTCCCTTCATGATTGATTGTGAACTGTAAGATGAAGTAAACCCTTTCCTCCACAGGGCACTGTAGGTCATACTCTTCATCACGGAAATATGAAGCAGTCTATGAGAACCCCCAGAAGAAACCCTGTCTCTCCCAACAACACTGAACGACTCGTATTCCCTGACAACCACTAGTCCTCTCTGGCTTCGCCTGTTGAGGATATTTCATATAGCTAGAAGAGCATGCATGTGGCCAGTTTGTTCTGACTGCTTTCATTTAACG